ACACACACACACACACACACACACACACACACACACACACACACACACACACACACACACACACACACACACACATACACACTCACGGATGCGGGGCAACTGTCCGTATTGTCTTGCTACCAGATTATTTTTTTTTTATTTTTTTCTCTCGTTTTCTTCTGTTTTTTTATTTTTTGAAAATCCTTTTAAAGACCAAAAAATAGAAAAACGAAAAAGGGGTTGTAGATCTTTTCCAGATCTACAACCCCATATTTTTTATTTTATTTTTTTATTTGTTTTTGCCCCTAAATTACCATTGGACGGTCGTCGTCCGTACACCCGTACGCCCGTTTGTTCGTCCGTACGCACGGGTCGTACAGAGATCCCCCGTACGACGTACGGGGGATGACACTAGCCCGTACCAACAGAAAACCCAAATTTGCAAAATTCAAACTTGCACAGACATTCAGACTTTGCAGAACTCAGACTTGCAAAAGAAGCTCAGACTGCGAAAAACTCAGATTTTCGATTTTTCGGTTTTTACCAATTTTGCTAGGGGAGGGAGGGCTAAAAACCTCATTATGTTTGGTGGCCCAAACGACGTCAGATGGTCACGTAACTTATATGCCCTTTGTCTACACCCTACCAACGAGCGTACTAAGATCTGACTTGATTCCATCACAGTTTGGCCCTGCTTGCCTATTCCGGGCACAACCTGAGGCTCCAAGTGAACAGTCCGCAGAAGTTCAGTTTTTATTTTTTTGGGAAAATGAACTCAGAAGGCCTGGCGGTTTTGCAGACCATCTATATATGCCTAGATAGGAGGTCTGTTCAGTCTCAGCCCCCATATCCCCTGTTTGGCGGAGTTGATTTTCGACAGACCGGTCGCACTGGCCTGTTGGCTATTACGGCCCGACCTTTGCTTCCGGACTTGGACGACGGTTTCTCAGCAGGAGCAGCGGTCAGGAGCTTGGTCATGCACCATCAACAATAACACCTGTCTCATTATCTGTAGCAGAAGGAGCAATAGCAATAGCAACAACAACTAAAGTGTCCTATCCACTTTTCTCCTTACCGCGTTTAAGTATAGCACGGGGTGAAATCAAGCAGTGTTGTGATAAAGTATGGGGGGTTGGAGTGTCATTCAAATAGACCATACAAGGGTGAGCTGCTACTTGGACGGCGATTTCCCAACAACAACAGTTGTCAAGAGTTAAGCCAGGCATTAGCAACAACAACACTTGTCTCATTATCTGCAGCAGCAGCAATAATAACGACAGTAGCAACAACTGCAGTCTCCTCTCCACTTCTCCTCCTTACCTCATTCAAGTAAATCACGGGGGGGTGAAGTAGTGTTTTGATGAAGCACGGAGAGGTTGAAGTGTCATCCAAATAGAGCACAGAAGGGTGAACTGCTATAGATATGTAGTGCCTCCTAAATAATTATGGTCATTTCAACATAATGAGCAAGAGCAGAAGTTGCACTTTACATCCAAGTGAAAAAATTATCGAAACATTGAAGGAGATTGAATGAAACTCACTCTCAAGATAGGAAACACAAAATGCAAAGTGACAATTTACAAGGGACTGTGGAAATGGACCAAGAAAGAGTGTATGAAGCCTAGACCACTACACTGAGCAAGAATAAGAGTTGCAATTTACTCCCAAGTGGAAAAAATAGCAAAACATAGAGGAAGTTCAAGCTAGGAAACACAAAATGCAAAGTGACGATTTACTATGGAGAGAAAAAATGAACAATGCACGAATAGATGATGACTGTAACAGTAAACAAGAAAGCACAAAAGTGACGATTTATTCCTAAGTGAAGATTTAAGCAAAAGATCAAGGGAAAGTGAGTAAAACTGACTCTCTAGCTACAAAACATAAAACACAAAGCATTAATTTACAATGGAGGCGAAAAATGAACAATGCATGTATAGATGATGACTAGAACAATAAAACAAGCAAGGACAAAAGTGACGATTCTCTCCCTAGTGAAGATTTGAACAAAAGATGAAGGACTCAAGCAAGAAAACACAAAACACAAAGTAATGATTTATAATGGAGATGAAAAATTGATAATGCATGAATAAATGATGGCTAGAACATTAAAACAAGCAAGGACAAAAGTGACGATTCACTCCCAAGTAAAGATTTGAGCAAAAGATGAAGGGAGACTAAGCGAAACTCACTCTCAAGCTAGAAAACACAAAACACAAAACACAAAACACAAAACACAAAACACAAAACATAAGACACAAAGTACCGATTTACAATGGAGAGGAAAAATGACAATGCATGAGTAGATAATGATTAAAATACTACAAGCAAACAAAGTAAAAAACGACGATTCACTCCCAAGTAAAAATTTGAGCAAAAAATGAAGGGAGAATGAATGAAACTTACTCTCAAACTAGAAGGGAAAAAAAATACTAAGTCGTGATTTACAACGGAGAGGAAAAATGAACAATGCATGAGTAGATAATGGATAAAACAATAAAAACAAACAAGGACAAAAGTAATGAATCACTCCCAAGTGAAGATTTGAGCAAAAGATGAAGGGTGAGTGAGTGAAACTTATTCTCAAGCTAGAAAACACAAAACATAAAGTAACGATTTACATTGGAGAGAAAAAATGGACAATATATGAATAAATGATGGCTAGAACACTAAAACAAGCAAGGACGAAAATAACAATTCACTCCTAAGTAAAAATATGAACAAAAAGTGAAGTGTCAAGCTAGAAAACACAAAACACAAAGCAGCGATTTACAATGGAGAGAGAAAATGGACAGTGCATGAGTAGATGATGCCTAGAACACTGAAACAAGCAAGGACAAATGTGGCGATTCACTGCGAAGTGCAGATTTGATCAAAAGATAAAGGGAGAGTGAGTGAAACACAGTCTCAAGATAGAAAATACAAAACACAAAGCAACGATTTACAATGGAGAGGAAAAAAAGACAATGCATGAGTAAATGATGGTTATATACTCAAACATGCAAGGACAAAAGTACGATTCCCTCCCAAGTGAAAAGATAGATAAAAAGTGAGGGAAGAGTGCGTGAAACTCACTTTCATGCATAGAAACTCAAGATGCAGAATGACGAAATAATTTCAAGTGAGAAAATGGACAAAGCATGAGCAAATGATGACATCAATACTAGTATGAGAAAGAAATAGAGTTGCGATTCATACCCAGGTGAAAATATAGACAAAAAGTGAAAGGAGAGTTTCACTCACTCTCATGCCTGAAAACTCGAGATGCAAAGTGGCGAAATACTTTGAAGTGGAAAAATTGACAAAGCATGAACAAATGATGACATAAAAACTAGTATGAGCAAGTGGAAGAATGGAAAGTGAGTGAAACTCTCTCCCAAGCGAGGAAAAACAAAATGCAAAGTGACGAAATATATTGGAGTGGAAAATGGGGCTACATGGAAGCAATCTCTAGTAGAGACGCTACTTTTTACCTTCCTTATGCTTCGTATGCTTAGTATGTTAGTTATGGAAAAAAAAAAAGAGGAGTGGAGAGGAGAGGAAGAAAATAATACAAGGTGAAGAATAACTAGGAGGAGAAGAAGTAGAGAAGGAAGAA